ATCAGTATACACATCAACATGGAGACCACACAATTAATGTCTCCATATTTTCATGGAAAATACCACGACTGCTAACTCAAGATCGTGAGTTTGTTAATTTTTCTTATGCACCTTAAGTTGCCTAGAGGCATAGGGTATTACTTTCCCACGTTGCATAATCACACACCCTAAACCTATTCGGGATGCATCAAAATTTACAACAAAACCCTTGTACCCTCGTTAAAGTCAACACTTTAGCGGAAGCAAGCCTATTTTTCAAGATTCGGAAGATTCTCTCACATGTCTCTGACCACTCAAATTTCGTACTCTTTTGGGTCAAAGTAGTCAAGGGAGATGAAATGGACGCAAAACATCCCTAACCTTCATATAATAACCCGCTATATCCAATAGCTTCCTAATGTCGGTTAAAGTCAATGGCCTAGGCCAATTTTTCACCTCCTCGGTTTTCCTTGGATCAACCTCAACTACCTCACTAGAGATGATACCAAGAAACGCCATAGACTTGAACGAAAACTCATATTTTCTATGCTTGGCATTTGTTTTCCTTAAGCACTTCTAACACCACCCTCAAATGGTCTATGTATTCACCCTCATTTTTTAATATATCAAGATGTCGTCAATCAAGATAATGAAAAATAAATCTAGGTAACTTTGAAACACCCTATTCATGAAATCCTAAATGCAACCAGGGTTTTAGTGAGACCAAAGGACATTACTAAGAATTCATAGTGATCATATCGAGTCCGTAATGTCATTTTTGGTATACCATCATCTCTCAACCTATGTTGGTGATACCTCGATCTCAAGTCACCCTTACAAAAGTAGTTTGAACCTTGGAGTTTATCAAACCAGTCGTCAATACGAGGGAGTGGATACCTGTTCTTAATAGTTAATATATTGAGTAAGTGATAATCAATACATGTTCTAAGCGACCCATCCTTCTTCTTCACAAACAAAACCAGAGCACCCCCAACGAGAAAAACTAGGTCTAATGAAGCCTTTGTCTAGTAAATCTTTGAGTTGAGCCTTCGACTCTTTTAATTTGGTCAGACCCATCCAATAAGGAGGAATTGTAATGGGATTGGTATCCTATAGCAAGTCCATACCAAAACCAATCTTTCCGTTCGGGACGGATTCCGGGAAGATCATTAGGAAAGACCTCCTAAATTCCCTTACTATGGGGACTAACTCAATGGGAGGATTTTCGGAGTCTATATCTTTGACTCTTACAATGTGATATAGACAGCCCTTTTAGATTCTTTTACAAGCTTTGAGATAAGAGATTATACTACTTCTAGGAATAAAATTTCATCCTTTCCATTCTTAAATGGATTAATTTGGAAAGTTGAACTTGAAAATTCTAGTTCTACAATCAATGGAAGCAAAACAATCATGCAACCAATCCATCCCCAAAATGACATCAAAATCAGCCATGTCAAGTTCTACCAATTCAACATGAGTAACTCTATTGGGCAACATTATAGGACAATTTCTATATGCCCCCTTCGCAACAACCGACTCACCTACCAGTATAGTTAACATGAAAGTTTCATTTAAAATATTAGGGAAAATATCAAACTTTCTAGCTATATAGGGAGTAACAAAAGAAATTGTAGCACCCGAATCAAGTAAATCATATATATCAATATAGAAGACATGTAACATACCGGTAACCACATCGGGAGAACTGTCTTGTTCAACCCTTGAGCAAAGTGAATAAAATCGATTCTTCTTTGGAGGATCCACATTGAAAACAACTAGTTTTCCCGCTATCTTTGTCTTGCACCGTCACATTTGGGCAATGCCTAACCTTGTGGAAATCTTTCCACACCCAAAGCAATTCTGAAATAATAAGGAAATCACCATAATGTTTCTTTCCAAACTTTCCACAGGTCGGCTTCTTGTTTGGTGATCTAGTACCTCTTCCCTTTTGACACTTAGGGGTATACATCCTAACATCACGACCCTTGGGAAATTTGGTATGAAATTTATTATAATACCTCTTCCTAAACCTACGCTTGTCTTGGATATCAAGTCTCCCCTTTGGAGAACCACCATCAAAAGACCTTTCCCTCTTGGCATCTCTACTCTTTCTATTAACCCTTTTCTCTTCCACTTGTTGATCATGAACTATGGATGAGAAATTTTTATATTTTTATGTATCATAGCCAGATGAAATTCTTATTTCAAGTCACTCGACACTCCCGTCAGAAAGAGGCTAATTTCAACTCTAGGATTGGAAACCAAAAAAGGCACATAACTTAATTTCTAAGTGTATTCAAATTCACTCATACCTCCTTGACGAAGGTTGATTAATTACTCCACTTTGGATTCCCTCTTTACCCAAGGAAAGACCCTATCAAGAAAAGTCTTCTTGAAAATCTCTTAAGTCACCGGTCAACCTCTTAAAGACCAATTGTCTATCCGTCGGACGTACCAAGTTTTGTCCACATCTTTGGGTTGGTTAGTGGATAACTCGTCCTTCTCACTAATAGTCAACCCCGTAGCATAGAGGATTTTTTAGGTTTCGTCAATGAACTCTTCAGGGTCCTCAACTTTTGACCAATAGAGAGTAGAGGGATTCATCCTTGTGAAATCCCTTAAACGGGAGGCGATGGTACCAACATGTTTCTTTGCTCGTGGTACAACTTCATGATTAGCATGGGACGTCATCTCTTGAGCTTGAATAGTGATTGATTATAATTGAGTAGTAATGGCTTGGGACATTTGGAGAAAGGCAGCTCTTATGTCACCATCCGCCAAAGGAGGAGGATTAACCATAGCTTGGTCATCATTTGATACTTCTTCAAGAGTAGGGACTTGATTGCCTCGGGGAGGAGCTCCCGCATTGCCATATCTTCATCAAGTATTCGTGCGGTTCTTCTTCGAGTATTCATTGCCTATAATCACAATAAAGTTTTAGATAATAAGGGTACATAGAGCCAAGACTCTAGAGTCAAGATATTTGATTTCCAAGAAGAGAAAAAATTCCTAAACATATATAGTTTCCTATACATAAGTGTGGCACGCTTCACAATTATAAATAAGAATCTACATAGACGTGGTAAGATGAGACATAGACTCGAAAGATATTTAACCTCATGATCTGATACCAAGTTTGTCATATCTGGGGAGCACCCTTCAAGCGTAAGGCGTCGGCGTCCTCTCTAAGGACTAAAAGTAGCCTCTAAGTTTACATCATTACATTCATAGGTTAAAATGTGGAAAAAATTCGAACTTTTATATATCTATCTTGAGGTAACATACACCTCCCGCATATACATAATATATTCATATCGAGTATACATACACCCTTCGTATAAGAACATTACATAGTCATCTACTTTTATTGGACATAGATATCTAAGATACTTAACACAGTCTTAAACGGATATCTCATCTCATAACCATCTAAAAAAGAGTATATAAATTGGGCACATCCCATACATCAATGTAATAATGACAAATATAGGCTATACAATCTTTAGAACTCAAATGAAAAGGAAAGATCTAGAAGTCTTATAACTAGAAAAACATCAAATGTTTGATAATGGAATTTCCCTCGGAAAGTGAGGACCTACCAAACTTGGATAAGTGAGAATTCAAAGTCGTCTCAAAAACCCTTCAGCAATCGAAATCTAAAATATTGGGGGGAAAGGTAGAAAATGGCATTAGCACATCACTTGTTCTAAGTATTAAACCATATGCTCACACAACATAAAATCATGATAAAAAGGGACATTTCGTTAAAGTATGCAATTTACTCTAAAATTCCATAGTAACCTTCAAAAGTTCATAACACTCAATAAGAAATATTCATTATGTCAAGATCATTTTCATCATTCTAAGACTAGCCAAGTCAATCATGATTACAAACAAACTAGAACTTATAATCAAGACAACTCTATCATCAAGTTATAACATCAATAATCATGTATAAGAGTTCATTACAACATAATCAAAGCAAGATATTTACTCATGAACCCTCATTAAGTAAAATAGTGCAATGACTAAGCAAAGCCCCATAACCTATGACAACCAAGTAAATCCAACAAGAATCATCAATGTCCAACTTCACATAGCATATCATTAAGAGTAGTTATCCTCATACTCTAGCCATAGAGACCAAACACATATTCATAAATGAAACCCATCATCATATAGTTTCAACAATGTAAAAGAACATCACACGCATATCATATACAATTATAAGCATATACATAGATAATAACATCCTCCTAAGACTTCCCTCAAGGCTAACTAGTGCAATGTTTAGGTAGAGTCTCATACCCGTATGTAGACTAAGCTAAAACCCTTAGGCCATCCTAGTTAGATTTCATTCCTTTAGTTCATTTTAACTTTTGGGAACATCTTGCCTTTACCGATTTATCACATGAGCTAATATGGAATCAGGTGTCATGGAACCCTACACTGAAGGAAGGTGGACTACATGGCAAGGTAGTACCGAAATGTGATCATAGCAACGACGTGAATCCACTAGCTAGTATTCCTATGGGGACAACATAGTTCAAGAACTAGGAGAAATAGTTGGTACCCCTTTATGTTATATACATTTAAGTATCTAATATCATGATTACATTAGTGATCCTACTTTCCCTATGTGGGAAGGAAGACTCCTCACTCTAGTTTACTCGATGCTATGATAGAGTCCCTTTTAAAATGTATTTAATGCTTTTATTAATCATCATACTTAATGTAGGTCGTAAGGTATATCCCTTATATAATCATCATCATCATAACTCACTAAGAAATTCATGAGTATTTTCCTTTCATTACAATTCATACATGTGAGGTTAGCAAATTTACATAGTCACATCATAATAAGACACAATGGTAAGTTATCACCATCCTTATTACATCTTAGAAAACAACTCAGAATCAATAATTAAAAATATTTGAATTCAACATCATACTAACCCTACCAATCTTAATATAAGGTATACTTCAATATAACATAATCACTTAATCACAAGACTTACTCAATCTCCTTCACAATGTCATCATCACGGTCTCTCTATCAACCTACAATTCAACGCAGAAATGGTATAATATAATCACACAATAGTAACCAACATAATATCCAGGCCAATTGAATTACAATACAACAATTCATCACTAGTTCATAGCCTATAATTGGAGACTTAGGTCATGTTCGTAACATACTTCATAACCTAGGTCAATTACTCAAGAAATAGCATAATTTGATTACAATATATCACAATCTACTCATAATATGCATAATAAAAACATAGGATAGTAATTCAATCACTAACCAAACCAATTAAGTCAATACTATACAATTCAAGATTAAAACCTAGGACTAAGGGTAATAGGTCATCATGCAGTAATTAGACCAATCTATCAAGAAATAACATAACTGAGTTATAATACATGTTAATATACTCATAATATTAAAAAAATTATAACAAATCAATTCAAAAGATCAATTTCGTATTTGAAGTAAACCCACTTGAATTTCATATTTTTGAAATCAATTAGAAGGATCCCTTTGGGGAAAGAGATCCCAAAGGTAAAAGGAATATCATACATTTTTTATTGATGAAGTTTGATGGATAGACTTGAACTTTTGCATCCCTAGAACCTTCTTGACCTTGACTTCTATGGTGTTCTTCTAGTTGGGAGCGAGAAGAAGAGAGAAGGAGGAGTATTGGATTTTGGGAGTTTTGAGGGTTAGGTTAGTTTAATTAGGTTAGGTTAGTTTGATTTGGTTATGTTAGTTTAATTTGGTTTGGGTATTTATACATCCTAATTAATTAATTTAGTCAACTTAAAAACGTGCAGCAAAAGACAATCTTAACATATGAAACCACAATCAACGCCCCATTTATCAAACGACGACTGAGGGACCAGCCGTTCTGCTTGTCCGTCATTTTGGTCAGAGACAATTCAAAACAAGCCCTTATCGAATTTGGTTAAGTGTCCATCGACGCCCCATTGATTGGACCACGCGTCTATTGTTTTCATTGGTGACACTGTCTCTCGACAGCTTTTTGCCACTTTTTCAAGGGTCATCCTCAAGGTCCCTTGGTTGGTCCTTGGGAAGTCGCACCCAGAAATTTTTACTATAAACTAACTCTAATACATGTAAGACATTCTTCAACAAAAATTTATCATTTTCTGACTCCAAAACATTATTTAAATAGGCTAACGCACACTATTACCTCAATAAACTTGTATCCAGACGTCATGGATGTTGTTTAAAGTTTTGATTCTTAAACTTTATAAATGACTTATATTCATTATTTTAGACCTTAAAACAGTGACACAACCTTTAAACACTAAGGTAAGGCTCTAGTACACTTCTTAGGCTTTTGGAGAATTATAACCCATCTTCTAAAATTTAACCCCACAATCCCCGAAAACAATCAAAGCATGCAGTAGTTAAATTTAATCAATTCCCAGAACACCTATTACCCTGAGATACTTAGAGTTCTCCCGGTTTTGCTGAAGTTTGCCATTTTTGATGACTTTTCCCTTAAGAATGGTGTGACATATTCTATTATTGGATAAATCAGGTAATTTAGTGCAATTACAGGCTACTTTAACTTCACCCAACTAACAGTAACGACATGCAAGCACAACACCACAAATTTTATTTCATTTTAAAGCACAAGATCACGAGTTTTCAATTATTACTACCATACGAGCAAGACTATCGAGTTAGGACATAGACATATTCAAAATAAATATGATTAGAAATACCAAGGACTAACAATTACTTAGATATGATCATTCGCAAATGAATATAAAATGCGATAAAAATAAACACAATGTTCGGAAAGCAAAACTTTTGTGCGAAATTACATGATATTGAGTATCTAGAAGGGTATGTAATCTAATTCCGCACCTTAATGGATGACACAAAATACTATAGAGTTTATGAAATATATAAACTAAAGTTGGGGTGTAAATTTGGGAAGATTAAAAGTGAGGAAAGTGAAGGATATGAATCTTTTAAACCTTATGGCCTTAAAAACCATCTAGTTTTCACTCATTCGGAGACATTAGTCATCCTCGACGAACAACTCAGTGACATGTCAATTAGTAACTTACCTCACTGAGTTTTACAAGATCTTCAGCTAAGGCCAGAAGATTACAAAAAGAATGACTTCCTTTTTTTTAGTCTGTTTAGAAAAGAATAGCCTCTTTTCTTTTTTGGTACCATTTTAAATTCAGTTTTCCATGTTGCATGCTTAAGACCACAAGATTAAAAGGAAATTTAAGTCGTTTGACATAACATTAATTTAGGACGACAAGATTCGAAAGTCTTCCTTATTTTCTAAAATTTTGTGTCAAGTTAAACGAGACCACTTTTTCAAACAGAGGGAGTACTTATTAATTATACAAATGAAGTGTATCCCATTGCTAAAATCTCATAAATTATTAGTTTGTTTCTTTAAATAGTGTTTGATAGATTGGATTGTAGAGGACTAATATTCAAGTTTGACTAGCTATTGTTTTAGGGGAAAAACTAAATAACATTCAAACAAGTCATTTTACCTACAGAATAAATGTTTGACAGACCTTATTTTTATGTGTGACAAACTTAAGTGTTTTCACATCAAATCAATGAATATAAAAGATTCACTATGGTAGGCACTTATATCAAGATTAAATGAAAATTCGATACAAAATTAATAAATTATATTTATTTCATTCGTCGTATAAAGTCCACGTCTTACCGATTAATTTAATATTTTTATTTATGAATATCTTAAACTCTAGATAATTAAGTGTTGTCATGTGAGGAATAAGCAATCATTTTTTACATTAATAGGTTTTAAGAAATTATATCTTAGATTGAAGAAAAAACAATAAAATTTTGACCCTTCCGAAGAATATTTATAAATTAATTTAACCACTAAACTCTTGGCAGTGTAATTTTTATTTAAACAAGGGTGTTAAAAAAGGAAATATATTTATTAGAGCCAGAATGGTAGTTTACTCATTCAACAATTCAATAAAAATACCATTTATTTTAACCAACAAAACGTTGTCACACATCCCAAAATTCACATTTATCACATTTTTTGCTTCTATAAATATGAGATGATTTAATAGAAATCCATTTGTCGCATACAATTCATAGCAATGACCTCTTTAACCTTTGAGTTCCTGAATTACATGGTTTTTTGTTATCTCAAGTGAATTGGGTAATTGAGTTCTCATCTTCATAACTTGTTCTATCTATCAAAGTATTATTGATGTGATCTTTCTATTGCTAAATACCCAAGAATCCGATTTTCAAAATCCGATACTCTATCCTTACAAGGTAGGGGTTGAAATTTGCATATACACCAACCTCCCCACACACCTCTGGGTATGTTTTTGTTTTTAGATGATGTTAAATTCTTTAAAGCAAACAATTTTTCATTATCGGAAACATGTTGTTGTTTGATAGGTTTGATCCATTCATCCACTAGAAAAATAAGTTTTGAAGTCAGTAAATTGAATGTGTATTTACTACAAAATTTAAACATCTCATATAAATTTAATATCTATCTCTACATTTTTGCACAGGATTTAAATTCTCAAATCTTGGCCATGAGTAAGTAAATTTGATTGTGATGGACTAGTACAAATTGAGGATTAACACATTTAGCATTTTTTTGGGTAGTATCGAATGGGTCTACTAGTTTTGCTGATATATTTTTGAGGACTCAGCCATTCAACATTTACTTTTGGATAAAATGCAAGGATCACTAGGATCACAATGGATGGACATCTAGTTCCTTTTGGTGCTCTTATTTTATTTGTGCAAAAGGGTATTCAGTATCTTAAATTGGAAACTAATTTGAGCTATGTAAGGCATATATTTTAACATGCAAAGATCTAAACTTCATATAGAAAAATCCATAAATCAAAATGTTTGTCCTGCATTGTTCAAATGTGTATCCAATTCAAGATATGGAATACCATGTTGCACAATTGTAACAAGAGAATTAAAAGGAACAAGATTTTTATCTAGTTTGCTCTTATTGATCCTAGCTTCGTGTATAAAAGTAAATGTTGAATGTAAGAATCCTGAAGACACATATTAGCAAACTAGTTGACTAATTAGATACTTTTCATCCAGGGGTATTGTTAGTAATCTTAACAAACATAAAGGGTCAATCATATTAAAGGCATCAAGAACTGTGATTATCTCCTTAGCTGTAGAAATGATACAGTTGTTGTTGTTTCGAATGTGAAGTCGGGAGAATTGAAGCATCTATTTGATTTTTATTCAGGTGTTCTTTTCCCTTGTTGTGTCTCAATTATTATCTATGTTTTGTCACATATCTAATCAATGATATATTTTTCTTTTGTTTTCTTATGTTCTCACTATTTTTATACAACCCGTGTAGAACTATTTCTTGATGTTGCTTCGCGAAACAATGATTCTTTTGCGACCAGCAATGCATATAACATGATATATGCTTGTAAAGCTGGAGAGAACAAACCAGTCAAAGCGTTCTCAAGACATCCGGTGAAGACTAAGATAGCATCTTATGCTTGATTAGAACATTGATGTATCTGTTGCAAATATTTTCAAGGGTTGTTTACTTTGCCATTGCATAATGAATCATTGCAATCAAGTGGGACCCCTGAGGTTCTTTGTTGGCTTCATCATTTTATGATACCACATATAAGGGACTCCTGTCTTATCCTTCTCAATGTTAGGTGCATGTGCCGTTTGAATTGTGCAGTAGGCATATACTATTTTTCAAATTTGATAAGGTAGAGAGATGGTGTTGAATGCCACTGGACCTCGGGGATACAGTCAATAGTTTACTGTTTCTGCAAATATGGAGTGTGAAATATGATGTCTTCTTTAATGATTTCAGAGAAAATAGCAAAGCATCTAATTTTGTTTTTTTTGTTGATTCATTTAATCAAATTAGACATGAGCTGCTGACTAATATTTTTTTGTTAGGATATAAATACAATCAAATGGAGTCCAATTGCCGCTGGTACGAGCAATCTGAATCACCATATGATGTTTGCAAGGTATCCAATCTCTTGTTACGTTCATATTAATAGTTTCTTTCATATGTGGTGGTAACACAAGATTCTCGATTATATATTACATTCCCCTGCTTTTAGTTCTTTGAGCATATTGGTTTTGTTTTATTGTCTGTTTGTGTGCTGCTTCATTTAACTCTATCATGAAGCTATGGTATGTAGACTAAAGGCGTCTTGTTAACAGCTTGAATTGTCACATTTAATGGATGTTAACTCATTATGTCTACTTGGAACGGACATAGGAGATAAAAATGTACTCTTAATAATTTACACTTATTTAAATGTCAAATGATAGACTCGAGTATTATATAGAGGGTTTGTTTACTACTACTCAATGAACTACCAATACATGTGAATCTTTCTTTAAGATCATAAAATCTTTGTATGTCATCATCATATTGTGTAAGTCATACAAGAGAACATTATCAACCTTGCATTATCAAATCCTTACCATGATCCCACATTTAACATATCCACAGCCCGACATATATGTATAGAAACATCATACATGTTTAAATTGTATAATAACATCAATCGTAGGGCAACATCAACATAATAGAGTAGTGATGACTTTAGAAGACTTACCTATTTCTTCCAAGAATCTTCATGAAGAACTTACATTCAATTCATATAAATCATCCAACAATATAGTGAAATACCCAATAACATAACTTATCTCAACTACTCTAGTCATACACAAGACCAACTCATAGTTAGGGTTAAGGGAAAGGATTCATTTAATGTGTTCATTCAAGCAATAGTTCCAATCCAACATTATATAACAATAAGTGAACAATGTAACATAATCGAATTTCATTGTTTAGGGAGAGTACATGCTTCACACGAAAACCAACAATACAATATAAATTATTCAACAATACATACTTAATTAGTCATAGAAAATCATAATTCATCATGATTAGTCATAGATTTTGGGTTTGGAAGAAAACCCATTTATAGAGTAAAAACCCTAGGAATTTCAATTATTGAAAATCATCTTTGTAAGGAATTATTAAGGAAAGGAATCCAAAGAGTGAAGAACCCATACCTTATTGAGATTTAATCCACGAAATTTGAGTGCACAAACTTGGGAATTTGATCTTCTTCTTCAAGCTTCATTGTTCTTCAATGAAGGATGAATAGAGAGAGAAAGTAGAGAAAGACTAGAGCTTTTGGATTCTGATTTGGGGTTTTGTTGTGAGGGAGTAAATGTGAGGGAAATATTATTGAAAACCAATATATAGACCCCCCCCCCCATGAAATACCAAAAATACCCCTCACGACTCACTTAAATTTACCGTATAATGAAGTCAAACTTGAATTTCAAATTTCAAATTTCAATTTTTTGTCGGGAAAGAAGTCCGTGATGCGAAGCTGCTCCCGTAAGATTTTCTAAATTAATATTTTAGATAGAAGAGTCTGAGACGTTCCCGATATTCAGACATGAATTTTAACCAAAGGAACACCAAGTCCGCGACGCGGACCCATTTGTCACATGGACATTTTGGCAGCTTGCTTGCCTATGTTTGGGTCCATTCGTGGACCCCTAGGGCGACCCTTGGGGGTTGGACCTGGACGTTTTCTCTCTATATACCTGGTTTTACTTACATAAAGTCATTTTACCAGTTTTATTTCTCATAAAACCGCTCCAAACCTTCATAAAACATGAGGACGTTTAACTTGTTCAATTACACTAGCCCACGGATGTCATACACGTTTCTTGATGTCTTAGCTCTAAAATTTGCGAAATGGTTTTTGAACATTATTTTAGGACTTATAAAAGTGTTACTAACCTTAGAAAAACATGTGAGGATCTTCATAAGGTCTTAGATTTTCGTAGTGTAACATTATCCCCCTTGGAACATTCGTCCCCAAATGATACAAAACTCTTTTGTAGGAGGAGGATAAACATAATACTAGAAGCACAACCAACAACATGCCTATCATCATGAGTCACAACTCGTACGATCACTTCACAACTCCATTCAACACATGACATGGCATTACACATAGCAACTCAAATCGCAACAAATAAGAGCTCAACATTTCATAACACATTATGAGGAATTTCCTTCTCAACATCAACATGAGCTCAAAATGATATTAAAGAGTTACCATGCTATTATTATCCATACAATATTAAAAGACAAAGAATATCAAGAGGAAAAAACATATATTTCACATAAGTCCAAGATAACACAAAAAGTCTTTTTCATGAAAACTCATTTTGACATTAACTTTATCAGAATATGCACATACTTGATAACAAGCCAAATTCATATTAAATCATTATTTCCATCATTTATAAGAACAACTAACCTTAATTACCAAAGAGAGGAGGATAACGGGACTTTATGTCGTCCTTATCTTCGCATGTCGCACCCTCAACTAGGTGGTTTCTCCATAGAACTTTTATGGAGCCACCTCTTTGTTCCTCAACATCTTCACTTGTCAATCAAGGATTTATACCAGAACCTCTTTATAGGAGGTTCTCATCCACTCCTAGACCTTCAATAGGTAAAGTAGACACCAGGTCGCCTATGTATTTCTTGAGCGTAGAAATATGAAACATCGTATGAATAGAAGCTATTTCAATAGGTAGTTTCAATTCATAGGAAACTTTTCCTACCCGTTGCAAAACTTCATAAGAACCAACATACGTGGGACTTAACTTCCCATTCTTACCAAATCTCATCACCCCCTTGATGGGTGAAATCTTCATGTAGACATGGTTACCTATAGCAAACTCGAGATATTTGCTGCAATTGTCGGCATAAGACTTTGTCGACTATAGGCTGTTTTGAACCTATCCCTTATGACCTGAGCTTTCTCAATTACCTCATAGATAATGTTGGGACGAAATAATGAAGCTTCACCAACTTCAAACAACCCAACCGGATATCTTCACCTACTACCTTAAAGAGCCTCAAAAGTACCCATAGAAATACTCAATCAACGGTAAAGGTGTTCATCCCAACTAGCTTTAAGATCCATCACACAAGCACTTAGCATATATTCTAAGGTTTGTATGGTACGTTCCGCTTGAGAATCTGTCTGAGGATGAAAAGCGTTGCTAAGTTTCACTTGAGTTCCTAAACTATTTTGAAATGATTTCCGAAAGTGAGAAGTGAATTGGGAACCTCTATCTGAAATAATGGACAAAGGAATCCATATAGACTCACAATCTCATTAATGTATATTCTAACATACTCTTCCGCAGTATAAGAAGAGTTAACGGGGACAAAGTGGGAAGATTTGGTCAACCTATCCACAGTATCCCATATCAAATTAGTTTAGCTCCAGGTTCAAGGGAATCCAGCTTCCATGTAGGAACATCCATGATTTGGGTTAAACCATTCGGTATTAGATGTTGGGCCTTAACTTGTTTGCAATTTAGACACTTAGATACAAATTCCAATGTCCCTTTTAAACCATCCCACCAATAGACCTCCCTAAGGTCATGATACGTTTGGTGGTACCCGAATGTATAAAATAACAGGAACCATGGGCTTGTTCTAGAATTTGATTTCTCAACATCCGGTACACATGAACTTCTTTGGTACGTAAGAACATCATCCCCCTTGGGAGAATGACGCATTAAGATTATCAAGTACTGATTTCTTCAACTACATCATATAGAGGATCAAGATATTACTTATACTTCAACTCAACAACTAATGATGACTCGTAGTTACGATATACGATATTGGAGAATATTATAGACGCACACCTAAACGAGCCAACCTATAAACATTTTTCACTAGTTCTTTCTTCTCTTATTTCACATGAGACACACTATCCATAGTCATACGACTCAAAGCATCCACAACCACGTTGGCCTTTCGGGGTGGTAAAGGACACTCATGTCGTCATCTTTCAAAAGTCCTTACCATTTTCTCTATTGGAGACTCAACTCCTTTTCTGGAAACACATATTGAAGACTATTACGGTCAGTAAACACATCAACATGAACACTATACAAGTAGTGTCTCCAAATTTTCAAGGCAAAAACTACAGCTGCTAACTCAAGGTCATGAGTTGGAAATTCTTGTCATGCAATTTGAGTTTTCTAGAGGCATTAGCGATCACTTTGTCGTGTTGCATGAGGCCACATCCCAAGAACACTCAGGAAGCATCACAATATACCACAAAGCCTTATTTACCCTCCGATAAAGTCAAATCCGAAGCGGAGGTAAGTCTATATTTCAACTCTTGAAACCTTGTTCACGCTTCCAACAACTCAAATTTCACCTTATTTTCGGTCAGAGTTTTCAAAAGATAAGCAATAGATGCAAATTCGTCAACAAACCTTCTATAATACACGGCTATACCCAAGAAAATACTTAAGTCGGTGGGAGTCAAATTTCTATGCCAATTTCTAAACGCATTAGTCTTTTTCGGATCGACCTGTACACCCTCACAACCGATAACATAGCCAGGAAAAGCAATTGATCTCCACCAAAATTCAGACTTAAAATTTTTTGCATAAAATTAGTGTTCTTTGAGGACTTTCAAGGCCAACCTCAAATGACACTCATGCTCATTTTCATACATTGATTATATCAAATATCATCAATGAACACGATTACAAATGAGTCGAGGTAATCTTAGAAAACTCTATTTGTTAGGTCCATAAATGCCGCCAAGGCATTTTTAACCCAAAAGACATCACTAGGAGTTGATACTAACCATATCTAGTTCGGAAAGCTATTTTGGGAACAACTTCTCCTTTCACCCTAAGTTGGTGATATCCCGACCTTGAATCAATTTTGGAAAAGTAGCTATCACCTTGGAGTTGATCAAATAGATCATCAATCCCTGTGAGATGATACTTGTTCTTTATGGTGATATTATTGAGCTGACTGTAATCAATTTACGTCCTAAGGGACCCAAACTTCTTTTACACAAACAAGACCAGAGTACCCCATGGAGAAATACTAGGTTGAATGAAACCCTTATCAAGTAAATCTTTGATTTTGATCTTTAACTCTTTCAATTCGACTGAAGCCATCCGATATGGAGGAATTGAAATAGGGTTCGTATCTAGTAACAAGCTAGTGCACAAATCAATTTCCCATTCTGGAGAAACTCCTGGAAGGTCATCAAGAAAAACCTATGGAAATTCCCTCACTACAGGGACCGACTCAATAGAAGGAGTTTCACATTATAGATTTCTAAATCTCACCACATGGTATAGATAACGCTTGGTTTTGTCTTACAAACAAACCTTCAAACAAGAAATGATTTGACCCCTTGGAATAGAATTTCCCCCCTTCCACTCTAAAACGGGCTCATTTTGAAATTGAAACTTCACTACCTTCATTTTACACTCTATGGAAGCAAAGTAAGCATGAATCCAATACATATACGAAATAATATCGAAGTCAAACATGTCAAATTCAACAAAATCAACAAGAATAACTATATTTGGAAGCATTACAGGACATTTCCTATAGACTCTCTTTGCAACTACGAGTCACCCATTGGGGTACAAACCGAAAAGGGTTCAATCAAAACATCGAGAAGTATTTCAAACTTCCTATATACCAAAGGTGTAACAAATGAAAGCGTATCAATGGGATCAAATAAATCATAAACATTAATAGAGAAGACTTGTAACATACTGGTCACCACATCGGGAGAACTCTCTTGTTTACATCTAGCCTTGAGTGCATGTAAAAAGTTCCTTTTTGGAGCTACGGAGATAGGACCGCTTGATTGAGCTTGATTATTCCTATTTCCTTGACCATTCATATTAAGACAATCTTTCACCATATTACCACTTTTTCCAGCAAGAGCTTTACCCACATGATTCTTACCACACTTTCTACAAGTTGGTCTCTCTTTTGGTGAATCAACATTACTCCCCTTTTGAGATTTAGGGTTAGACACCCAATCATTGTGAGTCTTGGGGAACTTAGAAGGAACTTGGTTTGAAAAAATCTTCTTGAACTTACGCTTCTCTTAGATGTCAAGTGTACTCTTAGAAGAACCACATTCAAAAGACCTTGCCTTCATAGCTTCCCTATTCCCCTTCCTTATATGACTCTCCTCTACTTTTTGTGCATGAACCATTAGCCTATAAATATCCATGTTGTCATAAAGCATAGCTGCATGAAATTCTTCCTCAAGCTCTTCGGACACTCCCGTTACATAAGGACTCATTTCATCCCTAGCATTGGAAACCAAAGA